AGAACTCACGGAGCCTCATGAGATCCGGAGACGGGTGGTGCAGTTTTACTCTGAGCTGTATAAAGCGCAGCATGTGGAGCATGAACAACTGTTTGAGTGTTTCAGTGAAGGCCTGCCCAGAATTTCTGGAGATGACCATCCTGAGCTGGAGGAGCCTCTGGTTTTGGAAGAGCTGCATGCTGCCCTGCAGGGGATGGATGGAGGGAAGGCCCCAGGTATTGACGGTCTTCCTGTCGAGTTCTACAAGACCTTCTGGAAAGAGCTTGGTCAGGACTTGTTAGATGTGTTCAATGAAAGTTTTGAAAATCAGACCCTGCCTCTGAGCTGCAGGAGAGCTGTAATAACTCTGCTGCCGAAGAAAGGAGACCTCCAGGACGTCAGAAACTGGCGCCCAGTCTCCCTCCTCTGTTCGGACTACAAGATCTTGTCCAAGGCTCTGGCTAACCGGTTGAAGCAGGTGATGGAGGAAATCATTCACCTGGATCAGTCGTACTGTGTGCCTGGTAGGTCCATCACAGACAACGTGTCATTAATCAGGGATGTTTTGGATGTCTCTAGTTCTTTGGGCACTGACCTTGGTCTCATTTCGTTAGACCAAGAAAAAGCATTTGACAGGGTTGAGCACCTTTATCTTTGGAAAGTTCTGGAGCGTTTTGGTCTCAGCCCACGTCTCATTGCTATGATAAAAGTTTTGTACAGAGACATTCAGAGTGTGCTGAAGGTTAACGGGGGTCTGAGTGCTCCCTTCACAGTAGGCAGGGGTGTCAGACAGGGCTGTCCTCTGTCTGGGATGCTGTATACATTGTCCATTGAGCCCTTGTTACACAGAATCCGGTCCTGTATTCATGGTTTGGTTTTACCAGGTTTTAACACACCACACGTTTTATCTGCTTATGCTGATGATGTCATGCTCCTGGTCAGAAATCAAGCTGAAATTAATATTGTTGGAAATATTGTGTCTGAGTTTGGTCTTATCTCTGCTGCAAAAGTGAATTGGACAAAAAGTGAAGCTCTAGCAGTTGGAAACTGGGTTGGTGGTCTTCCGGTCCTGCCGGGGGGGTTGGGATGGAGGAATGATGGTATAAAGTATCTAGGTGTTTATCTTGGCAAAGAAGAAATGGTGAAAAGAAACTGGGAGGGCATGATAGAGACGATGAAAGGAAGGTTGAAAAAGTGGAAATGGCTGCTTGCTCAGATGTCCTTTAGAGGAAGAACTCTAGTAATCAACAACCTTGTAGCTTCAGCACTGTGGCATCGTTTAGCTTGTATGGAGCCACCTGCTGGCTTACTCTCAAAACTACAAGCAGTTTTAGTGGACTTTTTTTGGGACAGGTTACACTGGGTACCTCAGAGTGTGCTTTTTTTACCAAAAGAAGAAGGGGGGCAAGGCCTGGTACACCTAGCAAGCAGAGTGGCAACTTTTCGATTTCAATTTGCACAGAGATATCCGACTGGTTTTAAATACCCAGTGTGGAAAGAGTTTGCAAGCAGCATTTTAAGGAGAGCAGACAGGTTAGGACTTGACACTGCTTTGTTTTTAATGGATGATGGTTATTTAAATTTGTCTGTATTGCCTGATTTTTATAAGGGAGTTTTTAAGGCCTGGCACCTTTTTAAGAAGAGACGGTTGGAGCCGTCAGTCTCCCTGTACTGGTTACTGAACGAGCCTCTGATCAGTGGATCCACAATGGACATACAGGACAGTGGTACACCAGGCCTCCATCACACGCTCCGTTCTGCTGGCGCTACAACTCTCAGACGGATAGTGGATGTAGCTGGACCTGGTTTTATGAACACTGAGGCTGTGGCTGCACTAATTGGACAAAAAATCTGTGCGTCACGTGAGGAACATTCTGAATGGTTGGACTAACAAACTAACAGCAGCGGATAATGAGCTGTTGAGGATGTACTGGAAAGGTGAGGAAGCTCCGGACGAAGAGGACCCTTTTCCAGAGTTGGGACTGGTACCCAATCTTGACTGTTGTTCTAGTCTATTGTTGGATGTCAGGCATCAGAAGGTCCCAGATCTGCACACGGTGACGGGTAAAATGATTTACAGGTGTTGTGTGAAGGTGTTGTGTAAAAACAAGTTAAATGGTAGAAGTGACACGGTGTGGAGGGAGAAACTGGGGGTTAGTAACGCTGTGAAGCCCACCTGGAGAGTCTTTTACAAACTTCCTTTAAAGAAGCGTACAGGTGACTTACAGTGGAGAATATTACATGGGGCTGTTGCAGTGAATTCTTTTATCTCTGTGATTAATCCCTCTGTCTCTGACGGCTGTCCTTTCTGTGGGCTGCTGGAAACTGTTTTTCATTGTTTTTTAGAGTGCAGCAGACTGGGGGAACTGTTCAATGTGTTGGGGTGCTTGTTTTCTTCTTTTAATGAAGTGTGGTCTAACACTGCTTTTGTTTTTGGAGCAGGTTACAGGAAGACCAATGCAACAAAGTGGCAACTGTTAAATTTTATTTTAGCAGAAGCCAAACTGTCCATATACTTGAGTAGGAAGAAGCAGGTAGAAGGACGGCTGTGTGGAGACATAGTCCCTGTGTTCACCTCTCTGGTCAAAGCCAGAGTGTTAGTGGATTTTAAGTTCCATCAGCTGATGAATAGCTTGGATGTGTTTGTACGTCAGTGGTGTTATGATGATGTCATCTGTTCTGTGGTGGATGAAGAAGTAAGTTTTAGTCATGTTTTCAGCTAATTTGATGTTTTTATTCGTGTGGAAGGTTTTTCTTTTTTCTAAATGTCAACCGGTTTTGATTCTCTGACTTATTGAGTGTTGCTATGTTTGTGAATCAGTGATGTTTTATTAAAGTGGTTTTAAAAAGTCAAAAGTCTCTCTCTCTCTCTCTCTCTCTCTCTCTCCCACCCTGAGCCATGGTTCTGCTCAAGGTTTCTGCCTCTTAAAGGAAGTTTTTCCTTGCCTCTGTCGCCTAGTGCTTGCTCTTGGTGGGAACTGTTGGGCTTCTGTAAATATCATCACAGAGTTCGGTCTAGACCTGCTCTTTTATGAAAAGCGCTGTGAGATAACTGTTGTTGTGATTTGGCGCTATATAAATAAAATTGAATTGGCTGAATGAAGTCTGACGCTCCTGAATTTACGCATGAATCCGTAATGATAGAGAAATATAGAAATTAATGGCAATAAAGCATACTGTCAATATTTTAGAGACCCCCCCCCAAAATATCAGAAATCATGCTTTTAGGGGAGCTGATGTCCTCTCTAGGGAGCTAAGCTCCCCCCGGCTCACTTGTAGTTCGCACACAACGATAAAACTTCAATGGAAAAATACATCTGAGGGTTCCTGGGAAAGTGAGTTCAGTGACTCACATGATACAATATCACAAATCAACAACTTCATCTTTGTGAGGTCCCAGTGATCCCAACAACTTGTTGTTTTTTATTGTTTCTATTTTCTTTTTCTTGTTATTTAGTTTGACAATCAGCTTTTTGTTTCTCCTGTCGGCCTTTTCATATGTAAAATGATTTCACTGAGCTTCTTCTATGTTTGGTTGGTTTAGCCGTTTCGTTTTAAATAGTTGTTCATGTTTTATTATTTTGACTTGTGTGTGTGGAGCCATGAAGACCAGCAGCCACTTTGTGGAAGCTGATGAGGATTAAATTTATTACATGAGTGAAATCTTTACAAAATCTTGGTGTTCATCTGACTGATGACCCCTCAGATTGTTAACTGGCAGTAAAGGCTGCTCTGGAGAAGATTGACTGAACAATGTGCTCAGACTTTCTCATGTGTTTAGGGGAGTTTGGTAAAAAGTGTTTGTGTATTGATAACTAGCTGCTTAATAACACTGATAAAACTAAATATCAACCGATGGTCCGAGTTTAATAATAAGGCTAGCTGTTTAAATTTAAGCTTGTATATCAGTGAATTAGTTAGCCTGGGTGGTTATCCATTTTCTTGTTGTGATGGCTTTCGGCCTGGTAATGCCACAGTCTAGTTTCACCCTCTCAGGTAAGCTCCACCCTGCCTCTCCAGTAGCGGCGCACACACCTGGAGACAATCACCTCATTAAGAGTTGACGTTCAGGGAGCACTCAGGATCTCGTTGTGTTGCAGTGTGATCAGGGAGCAGGTTAGGATTTTGGATATTATGCCATCCAACTTTTGTGAACACTTTTTAAATTGTTTTTATTACAGGCATTTTAAGCCACCTGTCGCCAAGACCCTGTAGACTGCTCGGCCTGTTCTGCTAGAGTTCACTGCAGAGATGGCCGCGGAGCTGACTTGCTGTCTTTAGGTGATGGTGCACACCTGTGGGTGGTGGTGTCAGGGCATCCTGGTGGCAGTTGTGCTTTAGTAACAGTTTGCCTTTATCCTTTAGCATCTCTGCAGCATTGGCATTAACTTCTTGTTGGTTTATTGTTTGGGCTTGTGTAGTTAATAAAACTCCTCCTTGTGTGCAATGACTGTTTTATGATGCGAAGACTATTGGATCTGAACGCTCGACATGGGCCTACAAATGTTGTAGATTTTTAACTAAATCTCCATCTGTCCACTGCAGAGGCTCTGACCACAGCCTGGAGGAGGAACTAGTATAAATGACTATTGGTCTAATATACCATAACATTATTTACAGTAGGTTTTAGTCTTCACTGACCCACTGTGCTTGTAAATCATTTAAGGGCATATGTGAGTGAAAGAGTTGCACTGCAGAGCCCTGCTTCACTGTACTGTTGTACATAAAAGCCTACTGTATATGATATAAATGTGTATTAAAAGACATAAGTTGACATCATCCTTATTTACAAAGACAGTGCCACAATTACAAGGTGTGGTTACCATGAATCATGTTGTAAATAACTAACCTTAACCCTGGACATACTACCCCATCCAACAATATTCAACGTAACCCGATTCCCAGAATATCCCTGCGATTTAAACAAGTTCTAATTTTATCTCCACCGCAACCTTAGACGTTCTGCTGCTACATCAGCCTGCTGCAAACCATCAGTCTAAATATCCAGCAATGAATCAGTACTGAGGAATGAAGCAGCTGCAGAGGTCTGACACTGGCGCCCAGGAAACAGTTTGTTCCTGTTCAGTTCTCAGAGAGAAGAGACGCAGCGACAGACAGACGGTAAGATTTACCTTCATTACAAAGCTGTGACTTCAACTGAGGGAGGACAGTTACAGGAGGGAGTACTGAAGTACTCAAGTACTGAAACTGCAACCTGCTGCTGCCTGAAACACTCAGAGACTCACAGTGAAAGTAACTGAGGCAGCTTTCTACAGCAGGGAGGGAAACACAGCTGACTTCCTGTTGTGTTTTCAGCTTCAGAGACAAAATGGCTTCCAGATCAGAGGAGGATCTCTGCTGTCCGGTCTGTCAGGAGGTCTTCAGAGATCCTGTTGTTCTGTCATGTAGCCACAGCTTCTGTAAAGTCTGTCTGAAGAGATGGTGGAGACAGAAACAAGCACCTGAGTGTCCAGTTTGTAAGAGAAGATCTTCAAGGTCAGAACCACCTCGTAACCTGGTGTTAAAGAACCTGTGTGAGGCCTTCTTACAGGAGAGAGATCAGAGAGCTTCAGAGGCTCTCTGCAGTCTGCACTCTGAGAAACTCAAACTCTTCTGTCTGGACCATCAGCAGCCAGTGTGTGTCGTCTGCAGAGATTCAGAAAAACACAGCAACCACAGATTCAGACCCGTCGATGAAGCTGCACGACAACACAAGAAGGAACTTCAGGAAACTCTGGAGCCCTTAAAGGAGAAGTTAAAGGTTTGTGAACAAGTTAAAGTGAAGTTTGATCAAACAGCAGAACACATGAAGGTCCAGGCCCGACACACAGAGAGGCAGATTAAGGAGCAGTTTAAGAAGCTTCAGCAGTTTCTAGAGGAGGAAGAGGTGACCAGGTTGGCTGCACTATGGGAGGAAGAGGAGCAGAAGAGTCGGATGATGAAGGAGAAGATGGAGGCTCTGAGCAGAGAGATAGCAGCTCTTTCAGACACAGTCAGAGCCACAGAGGAGGAGCTGAGAGCTGAAGACGTCTCATTCCTGCTCAACTACAAGGCTGCAGTGGAAAGAGTCCAGCAGCGCCCCCTGCTGGATGATCCACAGCTGCCCTCAGGAGCTCTGATAGACCAGGCCAAACACCTGGGCAACCTGACCTTCAACATCTGGAACAAGATGAAGGACATGGTCTCCTACAGTCCTCTCATTCTGGACCCAAACACTGCTTATCCAAGTCTCATCCTGTCTGAAGATCTGACCAGTGTGAGACGAGGAGAGAGACAGCAGCTTCCTGACAATCCAGAGAGGTTTAATCTCTGCTCTGTCCTGGGCTCTGAGGGCTTTAACTCAGGGACTCACAGCTGGGATGTCGAGGTTGGAGACAGTACAGGCTGGTTTCTGGGTGTGTTAGCAGAGTCTGTCCAGAGAAAGGGAGACAACATAGAGTCTGGATTATGGACAATAATGTTCTCTGGAGGTAAATACTCAGCATGGTCACCACCAGCTCCATCCACTGTTCTCAGCGTTCAGAAGAAGCTCCAGAGGATCAGAGTGAATCTGGACTGGAACAGAGGAAAGCTGTCGTTCTCTGATCCTGATACTAACACACACATACACACCTTCATACACACTTTCACTGAGAGGCTGTTTCCGTACATTTACACTGGGGATGAGCTGAAGCTGTCGTTCTCTGATCCTGAAACACACACATACACACCTTCATACACACCATACACACCATACACACCACACACACTTTCACTGAGAGGCTGTTTCCAATCATCAACATGGAGATGAAGTGAAGCTGTCAGCACTGAAGGTCTGTGTGACAGTGGAACAGAGCAGTTAGAGATAAAGAGGATGATTATATTCATGATGTTGTTGATTTCTTAAAGGGAAAAGTCTCTGAATTTAACCTGTTAAGCTGCACCTGTCCTCCTGCTGTCTCATTATTCCAAACATAAAGATTTATATTAAATAATGTAATAATAACAACAATTATTATTATTACCACCATTATTTAATAATAGAATGGGGGCAGACTGGGATTCTTACTGCTGACTCATTAATAGTTGGCTATGAAAGTATCAGGCATGTGTGTCTTATAATAATATTATCATATGAAGCCATTTTGATACAATTACGCTTCACACAACAGCTGTTTGCAACCTGTCTTTCTTTTCTCCATGAGAGGGAAAATTTTGAAAATTTTGCGTGGCGCTGCAGAGAGCCCCCAGCTGCAGTAGTGCGTAATATTCATCCAGCCAGGCGAACGATCACGAACCGTTCACAGCGCGTCGGCCGTACTAGCGACACAACCCGTAGGTACCGGAGCCGGAGTGGAGCGGACGGTGCCAGGAGATCGCGGAGCGACCGGCCCGCTGCTGACGCTCGGTGATCGTTCTCTGGCTGAATGAAGTCTGACGCTCCTGAATTTACGCATGAATCCGTAATGATAGAGAAATATAGAAATTAATGGCAATAAAGCATACTGTCAATATTTTAGAGACCCCCCCCAAAATATCAGAAATCATGCTTTTAGGGGAGCTGATGTCCTCTCTAGGGAGCTAAGCTCCCCCCGGCTCACTTGTAGTTCGCACACAACGATAAAACTTCAATGGAAAAATACATCTGAGGGTTCCTGGGAAAGTGAGTTCAGTGACTCACATGATACAATATCACAAATCAACAACTTCATCTTTGTGAGGTCCCAGTGATCCCAACAACTTGTTGTTTTTTATTGTTTCTATTTTCTTTTTCTTGTTATTTAGTTTGACAATCAGCTTTTTGTTTCTCCTGTCGGCCTTTTCATATGTAAAATTATTTCACTGAGTTTCTTTATGTTTGTTTGGTTTAGCCGTTTCTTTTTTATCCACACTGTGTCGTTTTAAATAGTTGTTCATGTTTTATTATTTTGACTTTAGACCAGCAGCCACTTTATGGAAGCTGATGAGGATTAAATTTATTACATGAATGAAATCTTTACAAAATATAAAACTTTTCAACACTTTGTGTTGAACAGTGGTGGGAACACAAGGGCTCAGATTAGGGGTGCGATGATGCACTCAGCTCACGAGATGAGACGATATTTTAACGTTATTTTGAAGATGCTTAAATATATGAGCGTGGCTTCTAGGGGTCTTCCCCCTCCAAAAGTTTTGAGCATTAAACTCTTCATTTCCTGAATTCGGCTGATGTTTTTTGCACCAATTTATGATGGAAATGTTTTTACATTTACTCATTTGGCAGACGCTTTGATCGAAAGCGACTTACATTTGAGAAACAACATACAAGCATCAACAAAGATTCAAGCACGAGATCTACAACTGACAATGCATACTAGTAAGAGTATTTTTTTTATTCATATAAAGAGAAACACTAAATTCAGGGAGCAGGTGACAATTCAAAATGTAAAACTAACAGAATATGAGAGTATATGCAGTGCAGTCATTCTGTCTTGCTTACACATATGTTTCTCGCTTTTGTCATGTTCACAAGGAGAGAACGGAAATCTTTGCCAAAAGAAACAGAGAAGTATATATATTTTTTAAGCTTAAGTTCCTTTTATTAGACAATGCACTTTTGTTTCTAATATATTTAAATTGCATCGCAGGTCGTCATTTTGCAAATAAACCTTTTTCAAAGCATTTTTTAAATTTAAAAATGACACAGCTCCAACATGTCCACCCTACCCGGGTCACCCACTTTTAGTACCAATCACCTGCACCCTCTTTACAGACAGCATCTCACATGTGGAGCCTGATACTTGAGGCTTTCAACGTTAAAAGAAAATAATTGCTTCTAAAGCATTTAAAAGTCTCTTTTTGTGTTGCATTGGATTTATTTAAAGAGATTAGAGACAAAACTTGAGTATTGGGGGGAAATCTGCTGTTTACTTGGTCCTGCTGTCTGTTTCCTGGAGGCTGAGTGTAATATGTGATGGTAACTGGATCGAGTTAATGTTCCTGATCATTTGGTGGGTTTTGTGTTTGTTGCAGTTTGCTTTCATGTACAGCACTGTTAATGTGGTTCTATCTTCATCCCTGCAGACATGTTGCGACAGTGTGAGGGACGTGTGTGGACACATTGATTTGTGGGACATGTTTGATATGTTGAGAGGAAGAGAACTCAGTCCTGCTGAGTTTGTATCAGATGTGAGAAAATGTCGTTAGAAGTTGCTGTTGGTATTCTGTGATGTAACAGAGGGAATATCAGAAGGTTCTTCTTCTGAATGAAAGGCTTAATGTCCAAATAAAGCTTGGTGTTCATCTGACTGATGACCCCTCAGATTGTTAACTGGCAGTAAAGGCTGCTCTGGAGAAGATTGACTGAACAATGTGCTCAGACTTTCTCATGTGTTTAGGGGAGTTTGGTAAAAAGTGTTTGTGTATTGATAACTAGCTGCTTAATAACACTGATAAAACTAAATATCAACCGATGGTCCGAGTTTAATAACAAGGTTAGCCGTTTAAATTTAAGCTTGTATACAGTATACAACTTGTAACAGTTTGCCTTTATCCTTTAGCATCTCTGCAGCATTGGCATTAACCTCTTGTTGGTTTATTGTTTGGGCTTGTGTAGTTAATAAAACTCCTCCTTGTGTGCAATGACTGTTTTATGATGTGAAGACTATTGGATCTGAACGCTCGACATGGGCCTACAAATGTTGTAGATTTTTAACTAAATCTCCATCTGTCCACTGCAGAGGCTCTGACCACAGCCTGGAGGAGGAACTAGTATAAATGACTATTGGTCTAATATACCATAACATTATTTACAGTAGGTTTTAGTCTTCACTGACCCACTGTGCTTGTAAATCATTTAAGGGCATATGTGAGTGAAAGAGTTGCACTGCAGAGCCCTGCTTCACTGTACTGTTGTACATAAAAGCCTACTGTATATGATATAAATGTGTATTAAAAGACATAAGTTGACATCATCCTTATTTACAAAGACAGTGCCACAATTACAAGGTGTGGTTACCATGAATCATGATGTAAATAACTAACCCTGGACATACTACCCCATCCAACAATATTCAACGTAACACGATTCCCAGAATATCCCTGCGATTTAAACAAGTTCTAATTTTATCTCCACCGCAACCTTAGACGTTCTGCTGCTACATCAGCCTGCTGCAAACCATCAGTCTAAATATCCAGCAATGAATCAGTACTTAGGAATGAAGCAGCTGCAGAGGTCTGACACTGGCGCCCAGGAAACAGTTTGTTCCTGTTCAGTTCTCAGAGGGAAGAGACGCAGCGACAGACAGACGGTAAGATTTACCTTCATTACAAAGCTGTGACTTCAACTGAGGGAGGACAGTTACAGGAGGGAGTACTGAAGTACTCAAGTACTGAAGCAACCTGCTGCTGCCTGAAACACTCAGAGACTCACAGTGAAAGTAACTGAGGCAGCTTTCTACAGCAGGGAGGGAAACACAGCTGACTTCCTGTTGTGTTTTCAGCTTCAGAGACAAAATGGCTTCCAGATCAGAGGAGGATCTCTGCTGTCCGGTCTGTCAGGAGGTCTTCAGAGATCCTGTTGTTCTGTCATGTAGCCACAGCTTCTGTAAAGTCTGTCTGAAGAGCTGGTGGAGAGAAAAACAAGCACCTGAGTGTCCAGTTTGTAAGAGAAGATCTTCAAGGTCAGAACCACCTCGTAACCTGGTGTTAAAGAACCTGTGTGAGGCCTTCTTACAGGAGAGAGATCAGAGAGCTTCAGAGGCTCTCTGCAGTCTGCACTCTGAGAAACTCAAACTCTTCTGTCTGGACCATCAGCAGCCAGTGTGTCTCGTCTGCAGAGATTCAGAAAAACACAGCAACCACAGATTCAGACCCGTCGATGAAGCTGCACGACAACACAAGAAGGAACTTCAGGAAACTCTGGAGCCCTTAAAGGAGAAGTTAAAGGTTTGTGAACAAGTTAAAGTGAAGTTTGATCAAACAGCAGAACACATGAAGGTCCAGGCCCGACACACAGAGAGGCAGATTAAGGAACAGTTTAAGAAGCTTCAGCAGTTTCTAGAGGAGGAAGAGGTGACCAGGTTGGTGGCACTATGGGAGGAAGAGGAGCAGAAGAGTCAGATGATGAAGGAGAAGATGGAGGCTCTGAGCAGAGAGATAGCAGCTCTTTCAGACACAGTCAGAGCCACAGAGGAGGAGCTGAGAGCTGAAGACGTCTCATTCCTGCTCAACTACAAGGCTGCAGTGGAAAGAGTCCAGCAGCGCCCCCTGCTGGATGATCCACAGCTGCCCTCAGGAGCTCTGATAGACCAGGCCAAACACCTGGTGCAACCTGACCTTCAACATCTGGAACAAGATGAAGGACATGGTCTCCTACACTCCTCTCATTCTGGACCCAAACACTGCTCATCCAAGACTCATCCTGTCTGAAGATCTGACCAGTGTGAGAGGAACAGCAGCTTCCTGACAATCCAGAGAGGTTTAATCTCTGCTCTGTCCTGGGCTCTGAGGGCTTTAACTCAGGGACTCACAGCTGGGATGTCGAGGTTGGAGACAGTACAGGCTGGTTTCTGGGTGTGTCAGCAGAGTCTGTCCAGAGAAAGGGAGACAACATAGAGTCTGGATTATGGACAATAATGTTCTCTGGAGGTAAATACTCAGCATGGTCACCACCAGCTCCATCCACTGTTCTCAGCGTTCAGAAGAAGCTCCAGAGGATCAGAGTGAATCTGGACTGGAACAGAGAAAAGCTGTCGTTCTCTGATCCTGATACTAACACACACATACACACCTTCACACACACTTTCACTGAGAGGCTGTTTCCATACATTAACACTGAGGATGAAGTGAAGCTGTCAGCAGTGAAGGTCTGTGTGACAGTGGAACAGAGCAGTTAGAGATAAAGAGGATGATTATATTCATGATGTTGTTGATTTCTTAAAGGGAAAAAACCCTATCAAAGTGAAAACAGATTTTTACAAACTAATTAATTAAAAATATATAAAATAAAGAAGATGATTGTATAAATCTTCACCCCCCTTTAAAGTGACTGACCTAATTCAACAGAGGTCCAGCTAGTTGATGCCAGCAGTGTCACAATTAGTGAAATGGAGATCACCTGAGTTCAGCTGATGTGTGTCAAGTGGCTGTAGTATAAAAACACACGTGTCTGGGAGGTCCAGTCTCTGGTTCATCAGTATTCCTACTACACTTTTAACATGAAGAGAAAAGAACACTCCAAGCAACTCAGAGAAAAGATCACTGAAAATCACAAGTCAGGACGTCCCACAGAGTTCAGTTCAATCCATCATTCAGAAACAGATGGAGTATGGCACTTGTTTAAATCTGCCTAGAGCTGGACGTCCTCACAAACTGAGAGACCGGGCAAGAAGACGACTGGTGAGGGAGGCCACCAAGACACCTACGAGCACTCTGAAGGAGTTAAAAGCTTCAGTGGCTCAGATGGGAGAGACTGTACATACAACGACTGCTGCCCGGGTTCTTCACCAGTCGAAGCTGTATGGGAGAGTGAAGCCGAAGAGAAAGCCACTGCTGAAAAAAGCTCATATGAAATCTCGCCTGGAATTCACCCAAATGCATGTGCTCGACACCAAGGTCAACTGGAAGAAGGTTCTTTGGTCTGATGAGAGTAAAATTGACTTTTTTGGCCATCAGACTAGACACTATGTTTGGCGAACACCAAACACTGCGCATCATCACAAACGCACCGTCTCCACCATGAAGCATGGTGGCAGCATCAGGCCCTGGAAGGCTTGTCAAGGTAGAGGGGAACACGAATGCAGAAAAATATCGCCAAATCCTGGAGGGTTATCTGACTAGAGAGAAGATTTATTTTACAGCAAGACAACGACCCCAAGCATGCAGCAAAAGCATTTGTTTTACTTAAAGTGAACTATCTGATGTTAGCTATCTGCCCACCCTGTCATTTCATTATCACTGTGTAATTTAAAATTTTGTGTAATTGTCAGCCAACACTGGTGAACCTGGAGGCTTTGTTGTCTGGAGCCTAGTGCTCCTGGTAGGGTCTTCCAAGGCAAAGTGGTTCCAGGTGAGGGGCCAGACTGAGAATGGTTCACAAAGACCCCTAATGACAAAACGAGGAAGAGGAGGAGAGACCCTGCCCGGAGAAAGCCCGGGGCCCCCGTCTGGAGCCAGGCCCAGAGAGAGGGCTTGTTGGCGAGCGCCTGGTAGCCGGGTTTGCCACGGAGCCCGGCCGGGCATAGCCCGAAGAAGCAACGTGGCACCCCCCTCTCCATCTTTTGGAACCACCATCCATCGGAAGATCCGCAGGGGTCGGGTGCGCTGCCAAATGGGTGGCAGTGAAGGTCAGGGGCCTCGACGGACCAGACCCGAGTGGCTTATGCTAGCTCTGGGGACAATGAACTCACCACTCTGTAGGGGAAGCAGCCGGAACTTGTGCGGGAGATGGAGTGCTACCAGTTAGATCTGGTGGGGCTGACCTCCACACACAGTCTCGGTTCTGGAACTGTACTCTGGGGAAGACTCTGGACAGACCTGGTAAGCCCAAACGGGTAGTGCGGGTGAACTGGGAACATCCGGAGGAGGCCCCTGTCTGTGAGATCTTCAACTCAAACCTCCAGCGGAGCTTTTCTGGCATCCCTGGGGAGGTTGGGGACATTGAACATGAGTGGGCAATGTTCAAAGCTTCTATTGCTGAAGCCGCAGCGGAAGGCTGTGGTCTCAAGGTCTTGGGTGCCTCAAGGGGCGGTAACCCTCAAACACAGTGGTGGACACGGTTGTCAGGGAAGCCGTCTGACTGAAGAAGGAGGCCTTCCGGGATTTGTTGTCTCAGAGGACACTGGAGGCGGGTGCAAGGCACCGACGGGCCCGAAGGGCTGCAGCCTCTGCTGTGGTAGATGCAAAGCAGCGGGTGTGGGAGAAGTTTGGAGAAGACATGGAGAAGGACTTTCAGTCGGCACCAAAGTGTTTCTGAAGAACTGTCCGCCATGTCAGGAGGGGGAAGCGGGGAACCGTCCTGGAGGAAGTCACTGAGGTAGTCAAACAACTCCACAGTGGCAAAGCCCCAGGGATTGAGGAGATCTGCCCAGAAATGCTAAAAGCTTTGGGTGTGGAGGGGCTGTCTTGGATGACAAGTCTCTTTAACATTGCGTGGAAGTCGGGTACAGTGCCCTAAAGAGTGGCAGACTGGGGTGGTGGTTCCCCTGTTCAAAAAGGGGGACCAGAGTGTGTGCGAATTACAGGAGTATCACACTTCTCAGCCTCCCCGGTAAAGTCTACCCCAAGGTGCTGGAACAGAGGGTTTGGCCGATAGTCGAACCTTAGATCGAAGAGGAACAATACGTTTTTTGTCCCGGCTGTGGAACAACTGACCAGCGCTTTACTCTCACAAGAATCCTGGAGTGGGCTTTGGAGTATGCCCATCCAGTCTACATGTGCTTGGAGATCTGGAGAAGGCGTATGACCAGGTCCCCCGGGAGATACTGTGGGAGGTGCTGCAGGAGTATGGGGTGAGGGGGGCCATTCTCAGGGCTATCCAATCCCTGTATATCCAAAGCGAGAGCTGTGTCCGAGTACCTGGCAGTGAGTCGGACTCTTTCCAGGTGAGGGTTGGCCTTCGCCAGGGCTGCGCTTTGTGACCAATTCTGTTTGTGATATTCATGTACAGGATATCGAGGCGTAGTCATGGTGAGGAGGGGCTGCGGTTCGGTGGGCTTGGGATCTTGTCACTGCTTTTTGCGGATGATGTGGTCCTGATGGTATCATCGGTCCGTGACCTTCAGCTCTCACTGGATTGGTTCGCAACAGAGTGAGAAGTGGTTGGGATGAGGATTAGCACCTCTAAATCTGTGGC